GAGATGGACTAACTGCACATACCCCCTTTTTTAAAATATCCCATCAAGAGAGGCGTGCAGCCTCGTTCTGTGGATGATAAATGAGGTGCAGACTTCCATCTGTGTCACCGGTAATGAAGAAATACAGAGTGCTGGACGGAGCAGTGAGCGACAACAACCCCGCCCACATTTAAGAGGACTGTTTGTAGTGGAAACGCTGAATGGACTTACCTGGAAATCCAGAGTTCTCGCGAGAGAATTTGAATTTGCTCAGCGAGTCACTCTGGCAATCAGTAATGATGCTCATTACCCATGCTGTTGGAGCCGAGCTGCACCAATCACATTGGTGTATCTGATATAGGCGGGCCAGAGGCGAGCTAAACAGATGACGACAGCGCTGCGACGACGAAGTCCAGAATCAGTCAGTAAACATTGCAAGATGGCTACAGATGAACACCAGTTGTTTGAAACAGCTTTGGCCGCTACAATGAACGAGTTAGACTTGGCTTTTTCTCTAAAAGAGGAACAGAAGACGGCGCTCGAGTCTTTCCTTTGCAAGAAGGAAGTTTTTGCTGTTTTGCCGAGCGGATACAGCAAGAGTCTAATCTACCAGTTAGCTCCGCTGGTAGCTAAGCTCTGGATACGTCACCCCGTGAATTGTTCTGATTGGTCGTAGTGTTATCCAGTTGCGTGCAGTGATATTTTCAAATGCATGCTTGGTGCCGCCCCTCGAGTTGGGCCATTTGCATTACTCATAGCCAGACCCTAAATCTGGCTAGATTTGGGTCTGGATTTCCAGGCTAGAATGGACCTACAGTAAGCTCTAGGTACCATGTCTGAAGGGTTACTTTTGGTTCCAAAGTACCATACCGAAAGTGTTTGGTGGAAACGAGGCCACACAGAAAGTGTTTCAGCAGCTTTCTGTGATTGCTTTTAATGAGAATGAAGCTTTTTGCTCGCATTTTTTGCGTTGCAACGCACCTTGCGTTTCTGCACTCTAGGAGCCTGGTGCTCTGACCTCTTCAACTTTAAAAACTTCAACACAAAGTGCCCCATGTCATCTCTGCTTTTTCCCCATTGTCCAATCAGATGATTTGAGAGGTGGGCCTTCTGTGGTGGTCATGACAACAAGTTTACAGCTGGTAAACAATGGAGGAGAAACTGGTGGTAGTGGTTGCTGGATACCCAGAGCTATACGGCCTGATGATAGACAGCAGGTTGTCAAACTGCCCCTGAGTCATCCTAAAATATGCCTGTAAACGTCCATGATGGAGGAGAAGCTCCTGGACCAACTGGTGGTACTCCCCATGATCCAGCCTCTTTTTTAGGGTCTCATGTACCCACACAGATCTCTGTTTATCAGCTGACAGCCTCTCACCCTCAACCAGAGCTACAGACAGCACCCTCTGCCTCAACATGGCAGCAACTAGATACTAAATACTGTGGGGAAAAAAAAATCTTAGATTAATTACACAGGAAGGTTAGTGTTAGGACGTGATGGGGTGGTTGCCTGGCAACAATAAAAAGGTGCAGCAAGCATTTTTTTTCTAGTAGCATTCTTTTTTTAAAAAAAAAAAAAAAAAAAGGCAGTGCACTGTGCCTCATGTTTTGCAACCTGCAAAAACGCTTTCTGTTTGATCAGGGCCTCAGGATGTTACTGAGAGATACTTCAGAACTGAGTCCAAGGATTTGAAAAATGTGGACTCTGCAATTCACAGTTGTAAGATACAAAAAGACACACTGGCAGAAAGCATGGATGCCCGTCACTGTGCGTGTCAGTCTCAAATGCCACACAAACTGTGCTCCGACGCTGCTGTGCTTATAATCTATGTCCACACTTGTTTGCATGTGAACGGATCACCGAGAATGGCCTTCAAGTGTGATCTCACAGACTTTCAAGCAGCCATGATCATGGATGCCAGACATTTTTTCCACTGCCAAGAGTGAAGAGTCACTGGGCTTTTTTAAGGTGCAAACGTCAAAGGTGATGCTCCATAACACAAAACACCTAGGAGAGGTGGCCATGGTAGAGACACATGGGAGGCATTGGTTGGCTTGGGCTTTAAGGGAAAACTTCACCCCCCACATGACCATTTATATTTCAGCTTTTTACTGAGTGTTACGTTGAATGTGTGAAGAAAACTTTATTTTTCTCGCTTTCCTCCAGTGAACAAAAAAAAAAAATCAAAAAATGGAAAAAAATCTTATTGAATTGAAGTCATAGGTGTCTATGTTTAACAACAGCAAAACTATAACTAAACATCTGTTTACAAACTCTTACAAAGCTCCTGCAGTATAATCCAAGTCTTATTTATCTAGTTGAATGGTCAGTTCTTCCCACACATGCATTTTTTCTGATTTAAAACTGAACTGAAAGTGAAACTTGTCTGTGCTCTCTTCAAAGCCAGACTGCACTGTCAAAAACTTAAATTTTACCTTGCTTAACACAAGAGCTGCTGGTCTCCTGCTGCCTCAGTCAGTAGTTTGTTTGTGTGACTTTCGTAAATCTGAACAAACACTTTAGAAGTCACACAATAACACAAACTAACTGATCGAGGCAGAGGTAGACCAGCAGCTCCTGTGTTAAGCAAGCTAAAATTAAATTAAGTTTTTGTCAGTGCAGTCTGGCTTTGAAGAGAGCACAGATACATTTCGAGACCTTCTTGAAGAGGTGGACTCAGTCCGGTTCCAAAGGAACTCTGGTGCGGTTGGTTTGTGGTGAGAAGGTGTTGCGACCTGGATGTGAAGCAACTGCAGTCACATGACACATTGTTTGGGTTAAACATGAGCATGTTACAGTCCTGGAGGATTATTAATGTGCACCTCCTCCTGTACTGCCTTAATATGCACATTCAGCACATCCAATGCATCAAAACATTGTTTTCTAGTTGGAGCCGCGCCTCGTTTTCAAACTGTATGGTTTGACTAAAATGAACAATGACAGCAATATAGTCCACGATGAGCAGCGCTAAAATCAACCTGCGTAGTTGTCCCTCCATTGTGACATTAGAAAGTGTCACATTTATCTTGCAAGTGTACTCTTCTTCAACGTTTGCTTTACTTCCTGGATTTTTCTGACCAATCAAGAGCAGCTTTCTCACACAAGGCATTTGATCTGGTCCTCTTGTAAATGCTGCCGTGAGAACACGAACCAACTCTAGGCAATTATACAACTTTGTGACAACATGAGTCCCTGATTCAGACCAAAGGAGACGACTCTAGGGCTGACAGCAGCCTTGCGTGACAGTTTGTCCATGGATGTTTAACGTGGACCCAAATGACATCAATTCATCAAGACTTTTTTTCCGTTTTTTTGGATTCTTCATTCAGCATGGAGGCATATGAGAAAGACAAAGTGTCCCTTATGAATTTAACGTAACTTTGGGTGAGTATTTAATAAACAGATGGGTGTGATTGTTCCTTTAACAATAAATAACCATTCCAAACTGTGATTAAACCACACACGATGTACCTAATGCACATCAGTGCTGGATTGTTGATGACTGTAAAAGGCTTTCCAGTTCAAAAAGCACCGACACAGGAACCATCATGCATGATTACAACTGTAGAGGCCGGTGTGGGAGCTGCTTTGGGTTTGAGAGGCACTCGAGTGGGTCCATTAATATCTGGAGATCGAAGCCTCAATGTCAAAACAGACCACAGTTGCTAAACCTTTGGTACACCTAAAATTCTGACAGGGTTGTTGAAGATTTCTTTGACATACTGTTTATTTATTTATTTTTTTTTTACATAAGCAACATATTGAATAGACTTTAATTTTTTGAGAGTTTTAATGTGATCCATTTGCAGTGAGAGGCCAGACAAATTAGAAAAACTTTTTATGAACATTTCAATAAAATTTAGAATTATCATTTTGCAATTTTTGTAAATGCTCTCTGTGGTGCTTTGAGTGCACAACATCAGCTAGCCATCTAACAAAGTGCTCTCATGCCTTAACAGCATCCATCCCCCATGATAACCACATGACCCCTCAACCCACCCAGCGGGGCCCCTCACCTGCCTCATGAACCTGTGCAGCCGCTAATGATACGGGGTGAAGCCGAGACAGAGAAGTCACCTATACAAGCCTTCAACAATATATGAGCCTGCTGTTTTTCTGCCAGAGATCCAATCTTTCTCACCACTCCCAAATGCACAAACACACAAACAGCATGCACTTGGAGCAGGAGTGCTCGCGGTCGGCTGATTGGGTCCCTGGTGAAGGAAGCGTAAGAGTCAGATGTAAGCCACAGATGGCTCCTCCAGTCGCTCTGCCATCTTCAAATGGGCCATACAAGGTTGTTATCTACATTCAGAGAGGAACGTAAGAGCTAATGCCCAGGATTCGTGTACACACCTTTGAAGGAAGTTGTTGCAAAAACAAGATATCTTTTGCTCCAAAACATCTGACAGCTGCACTTACAAAATTTTTAGCATGAAAGCACAAAACTCCCTGCTGCACCCACCACAGGGACAAACTCTCTGGAAATGACTGAAATTCTGTTGCTTACAGGAAAAAGTGCCGCCGCTCACCCTTTCTTTCCTCAGTGAGTGTTTCCTGTCTCAACTATTTTTGACAAAAACGTCAAAACCCATTGCAAAACAGGCAGGTGGCAGACGGCAATTTCAAGAATCTCATCTCTTAATGTTTGTTTCAAAGCCAGCGTGATGTCACACACATGCTTGACAATGAATTTTGATAAACAAAATTTGTGAAGTTGTTTCCTCATTGACTGTTCCTCGCAGATAAGAATGCATCTCCTTCATTTAGCAGCAAATTGCCAGAGCAATTTCAGTTCCACTACTTGATGTTGCTTTTGCTGCTTAAGCAACCACAAGCACAGAACAGTGACAGACTCTTTAAAGAATGATTGTAATTATCCTTTTCTTCATCATTTCCATGAATCACTGAGCAATGACTATATACTAAGATGATCTTTTCAGCAGTGGAGATATGGCAGATTACCCCCAAGGACAACACAGATGTTTGTTGAACAGACTGTTTGTTGAATGTTTCTTACCTATGTGTTTTCCATACATGTGGTAGAAGAAGCCGAAGCAGTAGGCGGGAGGGTTGGTGATGCCGTACGGGTTTTTAGGTGCTACGTTGAAAAACGGACTTACAAGCCGTGCTTGGTCCCCTTCCTTCCGTGGTCTTGACGTCTCAATGTACATGTAGAAACCTTGAAACACAGGGACATGTAAAAACACACATAAGACATCAGTAAATACACGGGAGGCTGTTGCAAGTGAAGGTCCTTAAAGGTCCAGTGTGCAGGACTTAGGGGGGATACAATGGCAGAAATGAAATATAATATAATAAGCATGTTTTCTTTAGTTCATAATCACCCAAAAATATGAGTTGTTGTGTTTTTGTTACCCCAGAATGAATCATTTCTGTCTATATAGGGAGCAGGTCCTCATCCACACAGATTGACATTTGGCACTGCTGTGTTTCTACAGTAGCGCCGAACGGACAAACCAAACACTGGCTGTAGATAGGGCCATTCGCATCGTATCGTATCGTAAGTTTGTAGTTTTGGCTATGGTTAATTTCACTTTTAACACTGTACTCTCTAATTAACAGGCTCTGGTGCACTCATTTTTTGGCTAAGCACAAAGGTAGTTGTATCATGTGAAGCTACAACCTCAGACATCCATTGGTATCAACCACATCAGGAGGGGGCTAAATAACACGAGAGAACTGGCACAGCCATTTTCAAAGAGGTCCCTTGAACTCTTACCAAAGTTTCCCTTGAACTTGAGTAGGCTTGTTCCCAATAAACTTTTGTTCCTTACAATCAATGTACTCCTTCAAACTAAAGCTGTATATTTGTCTTTTTAAGGGAAGGGACACCGGCTTTTTTGAAGGAAAATTATTTATCCAACATGTACAGATACATAAGATGATTATTGTGGAGCTCAAAATGTTAAAAGTACCAGTATTAGCCTATGCACGTTAGATAATTAGTAATATTAACTGTAAAAAAAGGAACCAAACCAACACAGTTCCTTAACTTTCATATTGATATCGTTTTCAATAAGCCAATATGCTTCAACAACATCATAGAATTCCTAAAATACAGTTATAGCTTTTGGTTTTGGTGGGCCACCCTATGATTTTCAGTTACCCCATCTGGCCACCCCTATGAAAAATTTGTTTGGGCCCAACTGAAGGTGACCCCCCCTGAATTGGTAATAATCAATTGGTTTATTGATTGGTTACTCGATTTGGTGCGACCTCTAGCTCACCTGGTATAGTCTGTGCCCTATGTAGGCTGAGTCCTCTGCAGCAGCCTGGGTTCGATTTTCTATCTTAGCTGACCTAAGGCCAAATAATAATAATAATAATAATAATAATAATAATAGGCAAAAATAGCCACCAAAAATAATCATGCTGCAGAGCTGTGCACACAGTTTAAAGGTAGGTCACACATCTGGCTAACATGGGGATTTCTTTGAAATTGTCTGACTGTGGGTTTATCGTGTTTATTACCCTGCTGCCACATTCCCAGATCTCAGTTAATGTCACCTGTAGGACCAATGTATGCAGTCTGTTTTATGTAATACATTATATAGTTTATATTTTCTGAGAGTGCCTCGTACATACCCTCAGGGCACAGGACAAAGTCATTGAGCCTCGCTGGGAAACTGCACAAACAGTGGATGTATTCCTTTGAAATATATGAGAGCTTTTGTCAGGCAGTGTTCAGACTCCCACAACTACCCTCTGACTGCCTCCTGATATACCAGCAAATTATTTGTCACTGTAAACACTAGGAGAAAAGCGAGGCATCCTTGGTCATGCTCAGCTGCTTTCTCAGCCGGTCTGTGATAGCATGATGGAAATGAAACCTTCCATATCAGAGATAAGGGAGCAGGGCTTTCTACGAAGGACAGTTCTCCTTTTACCAATAGCAATAACCTGGGGCAAATCGAGACGATAACAATGGGGTTACATTTATGCTCCCTCGGTCTGACAGTCGTGGACAGCAGCGGTGACGGCAGCGAGTCAAACAGCCCTCTGATTGTGTCTAAGCCGAATGATCTGAAGCCAGTCTCTGTCCTGCCACAGGCACAGGGAAGGTCGCTAGTGAGCGGCTCCACGCCCCTCCAGCCAAAATCAAATGGAATATCTCCCTCAGTTGAATCTCATATCAGATAATTATACGCAAAGAGAAATGGGGCCGGTAATGAAATGCTGGACATTTTGAAACCATTAGGTGATTAAAGCCAATGCATTATTTACTGCTTCAGCTGCTGCTGGTGCCACAGCACCATAATAGGCAGTTATGTTCCTGCATGGATATCTTCCATCAGCGGATTCATATAAAATCCTCCGACGGATTCCTGCAAATCCAATTATTTTGATTCTTTATTTATTAAGTTCTTGAATACTGAATACCTGCACATGTAACCGACATATTGAATACTAAATTCTGTGCAGAGTTCTCTGGTTTGGGTACCCATGGAAACAGCAACGGAGACTCAGTTACAAGATTATCTTGAAAATAAATGATCAAGGCTGCTCATTGTTAGATTGTGCTGCATCAAGCAATTGATGACACAATGAGTACAACTGAAATCATCTAATATGCAGTTTGGAACACTTGAATCTTTCCAACTTTTTTCAACATGTCATAAAAGGCAAAACTTCTAGAGAGATGCTTGCATGTATTGGATCAAGGTAAAGCATTCATGCTGGAAAGCTGCTAATTTCATATCTTGCCACGCAATTTAGCAGTAACATGATAATGACACTGTGCTGCGGCTCTGTGGGGATTCATGTATTCATGCATGGATTACATAAGAAATAACAGAGTGGTGTCCATTTAAATGTGTGCATTCAACCATCATTTTTCCAATCCGATGAGCAGGTGCAGTGTTTTCAGAGCAACACCGACAGCTGGCAAAAATAATCACTTACACTTACACCAACTGTGTGTTTTTTTCCTATCTGTGCATAACGTTTCATTATGATTGTTCAGCTATGTACATAAATACCCTGCTGAGATATTCAATGGAGTAACTTGCTTACTGGTTAGTAAATGTTGAGGTTGTTGGTTGATTTTTGCTACATGTACCTCTCTGTATCTATGTTTTCATACATAGTCTTCATCAGTGTCATGGGGAGCTTAGCAATTACGAGTTTCCAATTTGATTCCAGTTTATTACACATGATTGGGCTGCTGTAAACACAATGTGCCAATCACCATGCCATCATGTGTATGAAGCTACATTGAGGAGTGCTCAATCAAACAATCACCCAACTAATGGCTCAGCCAAGGAATCATCCAACTGGCCCTTTGCTAACCCCTGTTGCTATGTGTTTAAAGCTTTCATTTCCAGCAGAGCACAAGTGTGTCAGGTTTACAGTTATAACTGTGGCAGATTTACATTTATGGTCATTTCAGAAGGAGTCGTAACTAATTTCAGACAAATTTGAAGCCAGGAACCGTGGATTTTGTCGGCCGGACAACAGTTGGGTCATTCCACGAAATCGGTGCCTTATTTTTTAAGTAGCCAGGGATTAAAGACAGTTAAGGCTAGACATAAGGGTAGACATGAAATCAGGGGACACCGATAAATTGATAAATATTTATAAAAAATAATTTATATTTTTCCCAAAAACATTGATTAACAATAAAATCAGACTTAAAACAACATGTAAATGTTAGCATTTTAACATTTTGCCTACATTTTACAATTTAAATGTCTGGCTAGAGTACAACAGTCATAGTGAGGGACAGGTCAAAAACCAAACCCTCATCAGCATAAAAGTAATTTTAATTATTTCAAAGTATATTCAATTGACTTTAATTTGATGTCATATTGAGGACAAAAGACAAAGTAATGTTATATTATTACATTACATAATTGTTTGTTGTTAACAGACTGATTATTTCTTGGGGATGCAAAAGGCACCAATTCCATGGAATGCTCCAGTTGCTAGCAGGTTTTATCAGTGCTAGGTAGCTAGCTAATTTGCTAACTGAAACGATAGACTATAAAATAATGGACGTAGCCACTGTGATGTCACCCACTGGTTTTGAAGCCTCAAGCTTGGCCATAAGTGATCATATTTGGATGAGAGAGAGGAGCTAACCCTAACGATAGGTGCTAGCTTTGTCAGGATGGCGCATTTACAGCTATGGTCAACAGCTATGTTTTTAAAGCTTTCAGTTCCAGCAGAGCACATGTGTGTCAGGTTAACTGTTATAATTGTGGCAGATTTACACTAATGGTCATTTTTGAAAGAGTTGTAACTGATTTCAGACAAATTTCTAGCCTGGGACTGTGGATTTTGTTGGCCGAAATGACAACACTTGCTAGCAGGTTTTATCAGTGCTAGGTAGCTAGCTAATTAATGCTAACTCCATGACTTGGTTTAAACCATAAGACTATAAAATAATGGATGTAGCCACCATGATGTCACCCGCTGGTTTTGAAGTCTCGAGTTTGGCCAGAAGTGACCATATTTGGACAACAGGGTGGCACATTTAAAGCTATGGTTCTCTGTGATAATGCTAATGCTAATGCTAATTTTTGCTGTTGAGAAACATGCTTAATACAGATAAAACAAAAGGTATTTTAGTGAAAAATTAAAGGCTCTCTAAGTCTTCCTATGCTTGAAAAGTTTTTGTCACATACAGCAAACATGTCCTCACGATCCGCTAGCTACACGTCCTCTGAATGTGCTGTGAAAAAGTCCGGTCTCTGTAGGCAGCCCAGACTCCGCAAATGGCAAACAAAAACACTTCACGTCTGTTTACGTTCAACAATGTTATCAAACACAACAGAGCTAGCCTCATTGTAGCCTGTAGCTCTAACTGCCTCTCTGGGCACCACGTTCACATGTGCACAAGACCGTGAGACATGGGCACTGCGTTCATGTGTGTGTGCTTTTCGAGCTTAGGAAGACTTCGAGAGCCTTTAAATATGACTTCTTCAAGGGTCGTTCAGTAAAACCAACCGTCAACAAGCCTTATTTAAGCAACCAAAATATTGCAATTAACTTTCATGAACTGAAAACACACTGACATAGTGACAGCTACGCCTATGCCTACACTCTATCACTACTGGGTTATGCCATGGTTACGTTTCCTCACCAGGCCTCAAGGAAAGCAGCTCAACCTTTCTTCCAATTTTTCCCAGTGGCCATTCACAGTGTTGCAGCAAAAAAAATCCCCTTTGGCCCCAAAAGCGTTTCCCCCTTTGATCACCATTACAGAAGACAGTCTGTTAAATTGTTGACAGGACACCTCAAACTGGTCAATTATGACTCTCTATTATGGTTTTTTGAGCCATGGTGGTTTTATATTTGTCAAACTTTTCTCAAGCTGAGAAAAGAGACTTAAAAATCTGTGACAACATCACAATGTGAACTCCATGAGCCGAGTGGGAACGTGTGCAGAAGTAAACCCAGAAGCTAGTAACCTATTTTGGTGTATGTGCCAGGCGAGCAACTCCAGTGGACTGAATAGTTGCCATCTTGGGCTCCCCACTCTAGTTATTATTACACATCAGTCTAACCAACATTGTCACAATGGTAGCTTCTTGTCAGTGGAGGGCACCCACCTGTCACTCAAAGCGGCCATGCTCTTAATTATGCATAACTTTAAGTCTTAATAAAATGTAAATGGTAAATGGTTATATATAGATTCCACCTCCCCCCGGTATGGTGGTCATGAAGGTTGAAGTTCGCTAAGAGACCAGAACTGTTGGACCGCTGTCTGCAGCTGAACCCTGTAAAAGGGTCATAAATGTGCACTTTATGGCTACATACATAATTCTGAGCTACAGATACACGTCTCAGCATCATCGAGCCATGAAGGAAGTCTCAGTACAGCATCCTCTCAGAATTTTTTGCTGAGGATCAAAACTGAGATCCACCTTCTGTCCATCAGCGGTGAAAACGCTACTGCCCCTCCCGATCAGATACTTGCTCGCTGTGTCAGCCATAAAAAAAAAAAAAAAGAGACAGGCCCTCCATCTGTTGCTGATATCAATCATTCATGCTGTGACAGATTAGTTGCGAATATGTCCAAATTTGTCATTGAGTGGTGAGTTTAATTTACTTATACATGCTGTCTAACTAAACTTGAGCTTCAGTTTCATGATTCTCTCCTTCAGCTCTCTCTGTCTCTCTGATGCTGTCAGAGTTGTGACACGCTCATCTTGACAGCTGTAACAACCAAAAAAGACTGAGCTAACAAAAGATTAGATTATTTAACTTATTATTTTTAACTTATTTTATGGATTTATTTTCTATTTTGACAACTCATCCTGACTGATTGCATTCTTTTCCCCTCTCCAGTGATAAAACTTGGTTTTATTGTGACCTCACTTGGATATTTGGGCTTCACTGTCCAGAATAATGTATGTGCAGAGTTTGTTTTCACATCTGCTGACAGGGGAAAGTTTCACTGCGCTCACCTTAAATATCCTTTGTTACAGTGCGATGTTGAAACTTCAGGCCTCTCCTGCACATACACTGAGAACAGACTATTCATATCAGTTGAATATGTCTTTTGTCCAACACGTTTGTATAATCGTAAAATTATTTTTGAACGAGAGAGGACAGTGTGCCAATATCAGACAGGAGCTGTTATTCAAAGACTATCTTTATATGTTTTAAAACAGTAGTTCCCAACTGGTCCAGAAACGAGGTCCAGATTTGTCCTGGTTAAGGTCCACACTATTAAATGCATTCAGCATCTTGTATTCGGCCATGTGGTCGCGCTAGTTTGCTGTCTCTGTTAAGTAGCTATTTGTTAGTTACTCATTCCAAAGCATGAAACAGCACTTAAAAATCAAAAAGCTCTGTACCAGAAATTAACTGTACTTCAAAATAAAGTGTGTTTTTTACAAACATGACACATTTGCGAGTCACTTGAGATTCATTAAGAATGGACCCATGACCCACTTTTGGACTGCGACACACCAGTTGGGAAACACTGTTTCACAACATGTCTAGAAAGAATCTTTTAACGTAGACTCAGTCTTGTCTCGCCCACCCTGATAACCAGTCCTCAAGACCACTCTGTGCCAGCTCTGCTGTCTGGGCCTGCTGCAGTGTCAACTTACTTAAATCCAATTGACCTAAGGCTAACTGTGCGTTCACACCAAACGCGATGGACGCGATGAACGCCACAAGTTTCCATTCAAAATCAATGTAAATGACGCGATGACATGCGATGTTGCTTCGGGCGACGCATTTCAGGCGACAAGAGCGACGCGATGAAGTGATGACGCGTCCATCGCGTGTGTCGCTTGAAGTTGAAAAATTTGAACTTTTCAAGCGACATCGCGTGACGCTGTGCCGCGACATCCAATCAGCGTTGATATCTAACCATTCATAAAGAAATTATAAGCTACTAACCAGAGACAGATGGACAGGCGCTCCGCAGCTGGGATGGAGCGCCTGTAGTTGGTGTCCAGGCGGGAGATCCTCACACAGATACGGGCCAACAGGTCCTCAAACTGGGCCAGTGTCAGCCTGAAGTACCGCTGGAAACGACCGTCATCCAGACGCAGCTCTTGCAGGAGGTGATGATATTCACCCAGCTGTGTGAGTTTCTGGAGGATATTGTGAACCCAGACACGGCAGCGTTTGGGTCTCCGATCCAAATCAGATGTCCACAACAGATCAAGAGCAGCTACGGTAGTTAACTCAGCCATGGTTGACGAGAAAATAGCGGGAGGTGAAGAAAATTGCGGGAGGAGGGTTGTGTCATTGCGATTGAAGCGACGAAGCGATGATCAAAAAGGTGACATTTGTGATCAAGCGACGCGATACTCGCGTTACGGGCGATGACATCGCGTCCATCGCGTTTGGTGTAAACGCACGGTAAGCCCCGCCCTCAAACGTGATGAGCCAATCACAGTGCGTATAGCCATTCCCATACACTGGGACATTCTCTGCCTGGACGTCCATTGAAATGCATTACAGAAAGTCAGTTTTGTTCGGTTTTATGAGTTTTTTCTGAGATTTGAAGTTTAAAAATGGTCAAACGGTGTGCATGGGGTACATGCAACTCTGACACAAGGTATCCTGAGAGGCTGGGCGACCAGGTGTATTTTTTACACTTTAAACCACATCTCAACCGAGAAAAGTGTCTCCTTTGGATAAAGTTGTGTGGTAACGTTAGACCACAACATCAACTCAACGTGAATAAGATTAACAATGATGTCTACATCTGTTCTAAGGTAAGTCAACATTGTGTTTGAGGCAACATATTGTCACTTTGCTGGAAAGAAATATAAAGTTATCTTTAACATCTCTAGCTAACGTTAGCTAAAGTTAGCCTAACGTTAGCTCCTAGCTGCGTTGGTCATCATGTCACCTTGTTTGCTGGGAGTTCATTAGCCTATTTTGTTCTAGTTTTGTACTTTGGTGATCGTACATCATTGTTAGCTGTTGTCCAAAGGGCTCTAGTTAAGCTAACGTCCTCTTTAAGGTTAGAGCGGATAAAAACACTGTTTAATCCTGTCCTTACACTTTTGATCTTGTTCTGTTTTTGAAAGCCAATGGATATAAAGTATTGCTGTTACCACAGCTAAGCTATGACTGGGCAACCTTTTTGAGGAGGGGTTTAGTAAACACTTAAATCTCACAATAGGTCATGGTCAGAATTCTAGAAATACCTACCCTGCTTGGAACCACTGCGGTCACCACTGGGCCCGGTGTTGGGTGTGTATTTGGTGTCGCGGGTAGCAGCGCTGTGCCGTGTCCAATCAAAATCATCATTCTTGTCCTGGGTAAACAGGCAGATGGGCTCCTCCTCGAAGCTGCAGTGGAACTCTCCTGGTGAGCGACAGAGCAGAACCAGGCTCTCACACTCACATCGTTATAAAGGAGCCAGAAGTTATACAGTACACTGCCAAGAAGATACAGTATGTGTGCAGTGTGACACCTACTGTATATTCATGAGTGTTATGAGTGTGTGTGTGTGTGTGTCTCAGGGGGATATATACCTTATATAACAGCAAAGTCCTAATTACACCATATGATCTGGTGAACAGGATTTCTAAATTAAGACGTGACCTCCTGCTGACTGTTGTGGAGACGTCACTGAGTGTGTGTCGTTTTTCCCTTTAAATGAAAGAAAGTCCCCGCAGAGACTGCTGCACCCTGAAGACACCTAATGGCAGTGTGTGTGTGTGTGTGTGTGTGTGTGTGTGTGTCAGAATCATAGACTGTATAAAAACAATGGAAGAACCATCATGATGTCACCCTTTGGTTTGTAGAATCCCGTTTTGAAGCCTTGAGATTGGCACAGATCTAGCTGATGTCTAGTCACAGTAAAGGGGCGTGTTGAGTTAATGAGTTAATGAACGATGCTGGGAAATCACTTTTGTTTTTAAAACTCGCATAGGAGACTGTATTAAATTTACTATATAGGAGCTCACAACTTTTTTACTACTGGCTAAACAGTCTATCACTGGGTGCGGTTACATGATGGCTTCTCATTCCGAATTAAATAAATCTGAATGAAATCATTCGGAATTAAAGTCTTTCCAGGTACTTTACATGAGAAATATTCATTCTGAATGAGGTTTAACGGGAGATCAGTTTAATCGCCTTTATTCGGGTCTGCGCAAGGTTTGGGGCAGGGAAGGTTTCTGATTGGATAGGGGGCGGGGCGGATGTTACGTGTTTACGTTTACCGGAGGAAAACACTGTAGTCCTCGATCCGGATAACAAGATGCTTGACGATGCCGTTCTTAGTGTGTTTTTCGGGCTTGTTTTGCTTATATTCTTGAAGCAGCAGTACGACAACAACCTTGTTCTGCTAATGCTTCGTCTGTTGAGGAGGAGAAGGGAGATAGAAGGTCGAAGACCGTGCTGTGGCGAATGGAAACCGGTGAGTGCAACAAGTCCGACTGCTCTATCTCAGCCCGTTGCTATGCGCGCTATATACGTCATCGCGCCAGAAAGGCAAGGAAACGAGCATGTGCAGAAAGACGGAATGAACTTAAAGAGGAATGAGTGTATACAAGTGCGAAAAATTCTATCATTCAGAATTAGAAACGGAATATTCCAGCCCCTTACATCAGATTGAATTTTAAATAACATAGGCCATTTTCATTCAGAATTAGGTGTTTACAAGATCACTTTTAATAGGAATGAACTTTCATTCCAAATGAAAAGGGAATTAAACTGTCCATGTAAACGCACTCACTGTCTGATAAAGTGTGAGATCCTTTTTGTTGCCCTCAAATTGCCATGGACAAACCCACCAGACCATTTAAATAAACTGTGATTTTAGGGTTATAGTGCCAGAGTGTTTTTACATCTAACTGGGTGAATTAATGGTTTATTTCAACCAAACCAGAGGTGGCTATTGTTGGAACACTGGAAAGATGAACCAGGATGGTTTCTGGTGACTTTGAATGAAGTGTGTTTCACAACGATAAAATGACTGTTATTTTGGTTGTTTCTGGTAAAACAAAAAGGATCTCTCTCTTTCACAAAATAGTCTGTCTCTGTGGGGATCCTTTCTATAATTTTGCCAGATACTTAGAATAGTAATCTGAACCTGTCAGTTAGGTCATGTCAAGGAAGCAGCTTTCAAAACTGTTTTTTAGATTCTTTGGACAGCCCACTACTAAAGCATAGTGGATAGCATCCATTAAACAGACACTCTCACACACAAACCTCATGTGAAAGTGGTTTGAAAAATCCACTGTATGCTTACTCACGCCCGTCGGCGTGTGATACAGATGACGAAGGCACCCTTTAGTGTCTTTATGAGATGCATCCTTTAGTGCAATGGCTCCCAACTGGTGGGTTGCGGTCCAAAATGTGGGTCGTGTGTGACTCCGAAACATGTAAAGTTTGGGAAAAATTGACGACGTTGACAATGTGACCGAAAGCAAGTATGTCCCTGAATATATTAAACTGTGTGGACCTCAAACGAATGACTAGGGAGAAATCAGGACCCTCTGGCTGGACCAATTGGGAACCACTGCTTTAGAGTCTGTACTGCATGTGACATACAGCTGTCACCTGAGTAAAACATGTAACACGTGGTTTAAGTTGTCAAATGGCTACAGATAGGTTGAAATAACAAAATAACATCATGTTTTTGGTTTAGAATAAGTTCCTACGTAACATTACAACAAAACAGCATTGGCTTTGGTTTCACACAAGACACCAATAGCAGTGTCCTCGCTGAAAATGTGTATGATTGACCCATTCACCTCCCCTTGCTCCTGCCCTACACAGACCTCGTTGCTCTTTATACTACATCAGTTGCTCTGAGCATCAAATATTGCTGTGTATGGGTTTATATTGGAGTTTGTTGAAAGCCTGGTGGATCCCAAATGCCAAAGGGTGCCTTCTGCGTCAGTATCACACACCAAGGGGTGTGACAAAACATCATATTTGACGACTAACCCTAACCCTGTAGAAATACTATAACGTTTAAAATAAAATCTATTGAACTGCCAATCATTTTTGAATACCTCTTTTTTTCATGACTGAAAGTAAAAATGATTGTCCTTGGATGTTTTGTAGTGTCTCACATGTAGGACTCTGTAATCAGTTTTTAAAATTGACACCGCCTCCCTCCCTCTCTATCACACTCCATCTTCTCAGTCGTAGTTGTGCAGGTGCAGACACTTGGTGCTCCCCCCTCTTTCACCCTAGCCCTCCCTTCTCCTTCGCCGCTCTCCACGCCCCTTTGACTGCAATTTGTAAACTAGTGGAGTGTGCAGTGGAGGAGTGAAACCTTAAGTTTCGAAAGAAAAAACAAAAGTAATTCTCTAGTGTGAGGTTATGACAAGTCACGTGTAGGGGAATGTCTCACAGTGAATATACTGATGAATAAGAAGGGAACTAACACACTCAGTTTAATGAAGGTGGTAAGCGCAGGATCAACAGTGTCAGAACCTCAATTCTAATCCACGTGAAAAACAAAGCAAAACCTAACCAGAGGACACGCTGCTGCTGAGCAGTGTCCTGAAAGAGATAGTAAAAAGGAGCATTTGGATTCAGGATACAGGCATGTGTTCTGATAAATATTCATTGATTTATTAAAACGTAGCTGGGAGCAGTTTGGAGTGGTGACCTTGAGAGGAGCAGAAACGGCAGCTTTTACTCAGGTAATGGAGGTAACATAGACTGAGGAAGAGCGTGGGTGGATGGAGCAAAGGAAGGAAGAGGGCAGTGATGCTGCGAGGCAGAGAAAGAGATAGAAAGTGAGAGCAGGAGAAAAAGAAGTGGTGGAGTGGGAGAGTGGAGGAAGGGGCTGGGTTGCAGGCACTCTTGACTCTTCTCCTCATAGGCATGCAGATTTAAATGGAGGTCTAGCTCCGGGGGCTAGACACCAACGCCCCCCATCCACTGTGAGCTAAACTAAATGCTTTTGCTTTCTGCGCCCGGGAGAGATAGGGAGGATTTGGAGGAGAGGCAGAGGAAGGAGGGAGGATGAGGAGGCGTGCAGGTAAGATAGTTTCCTTCGGGGATTTGGATAATGATGTTGGTGATTAGGATGTTTGTTATTATGTTGGCAATGTTTGTGTGAACACCCACCAAAAATATATACCTATATAAATAAATAAACCACAATTCACAACAGCACACTGCAGCACGGCAAACAATGATTAAGTGTGGATTCTCAAGGCATGAATAATGTGAATTTGTAAAGTTTCCACAATGAAATGTGTCATAAATGGGACTAAGCATTAAAGAATGTAAACACACGGCACAGATGCATGCATAAGTAATCCTCACAAAGCACAGAGCGTGCAAATGTTCCCATGCACACACACATATATTCTTGTACTTCTATTTTTGTGAGGACCCTCATTGACATAATACATTCCCTAAGTGCAACCATCACAACTAAATGCCTAACCCTAACCTCAACCTAATTCTAACTTGAACCCTAAAACGAAGTCTTAACCCTCAAACAGGCCTTTGGAAAAGTGAGGACCAGCCAGAATGTCCTCATTTTGCATGAATGTCCTCACTCTGTTGCTAAAATATGTGTTTTGGTCCTCACTGTGTAGCATGTACAAGCACACACACACACGAACACATGCAAATACAGTCCATCCTACATGCACAATGTCCTGTGAAGATTTAAACGGATAGTGATAGTTCAGATTTTTTGAAGTGGGGTTTTATGGGGTACTTATCCATAGACAGTATATTACACACGGTAGATGTCAGTCTGCATGTCCCCACTTTAGAGAAGCGGGCCGGAGTCCAACACGGAAGCTAAGCAATCTAATGCTGTGGAGGGGGCTGCACCACAATTTATTTTAGCCACTTAAAAAAAAGTCCCACCCTAAAAAAAATCAATATCCGTTTAAGTGTATGCTATATGTAGAATATTTTCATTGCTTTACCCTAAATTCAGATGGCGATTTCCAATGGGAAAATAAAGCCGTTATGTCTCTCTCTTCAGAGCCAAACTCCATTGAAAAACACAGTGATTTAACATTGCTCAACACAGGAGCTGCTGGTCTACTGCTGCTTCAATCAGTTATTTTGTTTGTGTTATTGTGTGACTTTGGTGTTTTAAAAGAGTTCATCTGGATTCACCAAAGTCACACAATAACACAAAATATCTAACTGATCGAAGCAGTGGTGGAGCAGCAGCTCTTGTGTTCATTGAGCTAAAATTGACTGTTTTTGTCAATGGAGTCTGGCTTTGACAAGAGCGTAGATGTGAAACTTAAGCCTTTAATGGCTTCCCTATCAGAGTGGGTTGTCTGACGGAAATGCGAATCAATGAAAATACTCTCAATATCCTCCTGAGACCTGAACTTTTGTTTGGTTTGCATCTTTTATTTCACCTAGCTATTTTGGATCAGTAAGACCTGATGATCAGTAAGTTCCAATGTCCTCAAATAAGACGATAAAAAAGGTCCAATGTCTTCAAAGTAGTACTTTCTAACAGCTGCTTATCTTGTTACTGTTGCTAAAATTGGTCAAATGTGTTGCCATATCAAACTATAGACATTAATAATCATAGATAATCAAGTTTTAACCATAAAATCTGATCAGGTTTTGGACCTTGTCCACTTTTGTGTAGGGATCGGCTGCAGACTGACTTGGCAGAGATGGCTGCCATCTTGTTTTTTACTTGGATTAGTGTATTGTGCTCTTACTACCACTAGATGGCACAACAAGTGTCCACACACAAGGACAACAGGCCTTAGTGTAGCAGAATGAAGTATAAGGTCAAGTAAACCCAAAATGTGGCTAAAATAGGTTTTGCAGCAGCACATTGCTTAGCTTCTGTGTCAGACTCCGGCCTGCTTCTCCAAACAGGGGGCGTGCTGACTAACTTCTACTGCAGTTAATACACTGACTATGAATACGTACCCCAAACAACCCCACTTCAAAAACTCCTAACTATCCCTTTAAAGCTCCCAACATGTCAGAATGCCTGGTGCAGGTTTACCCAGAGTTCCTAAAGGAAAGCTCATTTGTCATACTTCATTTAGTCCTACTTAAGAATACTTAGAAGGATCTTCCAGTGCAGTGTGACATGTTGAGAGTCAGATCTCCACGGGACGTGCAGTTACTCTGAGTCTCCCCACTGTTCTCACAGACTGTGCTGCTCAGACAGACAGGAGGAGCTCGCTCTCTGGCGAGACATGCTAAGTGAGGTGCACATTACTTACTCAGGTGAGGGTTGATGGGAGCTGTGAAAGAGAAAGGCCAGGGACAGTCATTAGTACAGAATATCTAAGCCGTCTGTCAATACGTGAAACGCCTCTTAAAAGGAAATGCTCACACAGCCGTACAAGCACTCAAACTGTCGCACTTTAAAAATGTTTGGCTGACATAATGTGCTCTACAAGGAGTTACACAGAATACAAGCATGCACACAGTAGCTGCTGCTATTAACCTTTTGTCCTGCTGTCATCTACTGTTTAGGCACAGAGCTAATAAAAGTCTACATGTATAAAACTTAGAGCTTGCACACTTTGCTCGGTGTCTTACTGTCATAAAACTAAATGAAAGAGGCCCATGGGAAGGCTGGGAATATTGTCCTGTGATATTAAAACACGAAGTATATTAGAGTGTGTGAGCTCCATCTTCGCTGAGCTCTATTGCTTACACAGTGCACGAATAAACACGTAGCTAAACAGGAAGCAATCCACTGGCACGCACAATGCAATTATTATTGAGCAGACAGAAAGAGAGATGTCTGGGATTTAAAGTGGAAAAGGTGACAGCAGTCGTTCTCTGCCTGTTATCAAATGTAAAAGACAGAGGGATTAGGAAGACCGGCCTGACCGCATTAATAAGCTTATAGCGCAACTGCTTATCATTATTGCCATTTACCGGCGTTGCTGATGTTCTTGTTCAAGGTGACTTCCATTTAGAGCACTAAGCCTATTTTATACTTCCATTTAGAAGCCAATAAATCATAAAAATGAAATGAGTAATAATCACAAGTGTGTCTGCTAATCACTTTCCTGTAACATCCTTGATTCTTACCGTGTTTTCAGCGCCGCCATTATGGCAACTTTGAGATCAAACACTGATAACTGGAGTCCATTGAAACACACGCGAGGCTTCTTTCGCATTCTGTCCACCTCAGCGCGGTTCAATGCTTCCCTCATTGATAATTTAAGAGGCTACCGCCGCGGCAAACACAGAAAGGTCAAGGGTATCACACAGAGTTGCAACGAGCCAGTTAGTCGGCACTTCACTTTTTGCGGAGTAAATACCATTTAACCTGTCAAGAAGATTCATGGGCATTTTCATGATCGATTGCTGACCGGCTGAATAGATGCGATACATCAGCTTTACCACAAAACTACGTCGCTGCCTGATTTATGAAACCTCTCTGTTGGTTGGGAGGGGGGGATTGATTTTAATCCAACCAATTAAAGTGAGTAATAACAAATCATTCCTACAAAGGAAAACATGTACTGAAGAGCGGGGAAGTACTGCGGGGACGGTGGAATCGGTCTTTTGAAAAGCAGAAACTCAAGTAGTGATTTCTGTTTATGGCTGCGCCGTTCATGGAAATGTGTGCTCACTTGCAGTGTGGAGAAACAAGCACAAAGGCACACAGAGAGAGAGAGAGAGAGAGAGAGAGGGGAAAGACAGAGAGAGAGAACAAACCATTGCATTTCCAATTGAATCTTATAAAACATTCAGTGAACTGCAACACTGCAGCTGGAGCCTCGCCACGAGTGTGCTGAGAACAGCCTGTACACCCTCATCATATAAAAGCTTTAATAATCTTACTATGTTACTGATTGTGAAAATACCTGCATCCCAACACTCCTTACTGAATGCATCTGCACAGAGTGGCACTGCTGCAATGAAAGTCTCTGCAGAGAGGGAGGAAATCATCCGGGCTGTTGCAGAGAAAATGTTTTAAATGACAACTTACAGCCTGAGGCCGGTGAAACGGATGCTGAGTTTTCTGACAAAACTCTATTCTTTCAGCCCCCTCCTCCTGCTCTCCGGTTCTTTCCCTCTCCCATTTCCTGCAGCTCTCCTCGCCCTCCTCCCCAATCCTTCCTGCTGCCCTCTTCTTTCTTCCAAGACTGTGGTTATGAAAATATGTTTCCTTGTCAGTTTTTTTTTTTTACCTGCAGCCTCCCCAGGCTGACTCTCGGTGCCTTAGTCCAGATGAATGTGTCTGCTCGAGCAATGTCTCTACCCCCACTGAGGATATCAAGCTGAGCACAGAGCAGGCCCAGAGGCTACTTTACTACTGCTGTGCATGCACACACACTCTCCAAAACACACACACACACAAACAGATAATTTAACTTCCAATTTAGATGACCGCACTGGATATGGGAAAACAAACATGGACCAAAATAAATTCAGATTGAGGTTTCAACTATTTAAAATGAAGCACTCTTGTCAGAAATTTTACAGCCTTGTCTTCAAATACTTCTCCAGCTCCTGAGTGGACCTCACACTCAAAATGCACTACGTTATTAAAGCATAGGTGAGAAAAGCCCGCAAGCAAGCTGCAAAGGCTTTAAAAAATATCTCTTGCTTCTTTCTTAATATTGCAGCACTCTGCTTTCCCTTCCGGCTACAAAAGCTTCAAATAATGATCGAGGATGAAATGTAATTTTGATGGTTCTTAAGATAAACAGTCCCAGTGATCATGGTGTGAAGTGGAGTTAGATTTCAAGGCAGCTCTTTGAAAATGTTTTAAGGTAGGGTTGGGTATAGGTTTGGGCAGTATCATGGTATAACGGTATACCAGGGTATTTAGGAATCTCAGTGGTATGATTTTCAGCACCGTCAAAACTGTAGGTATATATACTGTATTAAGGATGTATTGTATGTAGTACACATCACACGCCACCAGAGGTCAGTCTCTACTGTAGAAACAGGCCGCTAAGCTGAGAGACATGAAGTGGTAGGGAGAACGTTACAGGACTGTTAACACTTGGGAAAAACTGTATATTTTCACATCTAAAGCCAAGTTCAGACCAAATACAATGAGAGTTGAAATAGGCAACTACTAAACCTGCTGGTTCACACCAATGCAACCAGATGAGACAGTGTATCATCTCTATGCAACAACTCTCTGTACTGTTTTCAGGTTTATTTTGTGTCTGAATATAATTTGCAGCTTCTTAAAATATGAATGAGGATAGTGATTGTGAGATACTGGCTACAGCTGCATTTGCAGTAGTGATGAAGTGGTGAAAAACAGAAACAAAACGAGCATCAGATGGGCTGTATTCATAATCAATACACCATGACAATGTAAGGAAGCAGCATCAGTTAATCAGTCAATGAGAATGTGTGTGTGTGCAGGCATAGGCACATACAGTGAGCAGCAGCAGCGACCCACCGTCCAACACCGGCACACCGTGAGGACGGAAACAGAGGGCTCTTCGGAGACGAGCACCTGCCACAGCAAGCAAACACGTCGTCTGCGGTCATTTTGACTCAACCAGCGTACTTCACTACAAGCTGACTGGCTGTACAAACGGGCGACGTGCTTTCCGTTCTAAAACCTGCCGCCGGTGATTTGACCAGCTGAGTTGCAGGTGACACCATCAGCCTGCTTGAGTTCACACTGCTGCAACTTTTCTCTGCAATGTTCTTAAACGGTTTTGTCTCGTCGCGAATCTTTGATCTGAACTGGGCTTAACTCACTTAACTCTGTTTCAACCAATCCAGAATTTGTGATTGTTGCAGCAGTGGACTGTCTAACTAACTGACTAACAAGACTAACTAAGACAGTTTTGGTGAATTTTATTTTGTTTCTGTTAGGTTTAATTGAAGTGTGCTTTTTGATAAATCAACAAAGCAACTGAAGGGATAGTGCACCCAAAAATGAAAATTCAACCATTATCTACTCACCCATATGCCGAGGGAGGCTCAGGTGAAGTTTTCGAGTCCTCACATCACTTGCGGAGATCCAAGGGGAGAGGAGGTAGCAACACAACTCCACCTAATGGAGGCTGACGGCGCCCCAGATTCAAACGTCCAAAAACACATAATTGAAACCACAAAATATCTCCATACTGCTCGTCCGTAGTGATCCAAGTGTCCTGAAGCCCCGACATAAAAAGTTGTTTGGAAAAACCTCATTTGAACTCTGTTTTTAGCCTCATTGTAGCCTGTAGCTCTGACTGCCTCTGTGTATACCAAGCTCACTACAGTGAGGCTAAAAACAGAGTTCAAATGAGGTTTTTCCAAACAACTTTTTATGTCGGGGCTTCAGGACACTTGGATCACTACGGACGAGCAGTATGGAGATATTTTGTGGTTTCAATTATGTGTTTTTGGACGTTTGAATCTGGGGCACCGTCAGCCTCCATTAGGTGGAGTTGTGTTGCTACCTCCTCTCCCCTTGGATCTCTGCAAGTGATGTGAGGACTCTAAAACTTCACCAGGGCCTCCCTCGGCATATGGGTGAGTAGATAATGGCTGAATTTTCATTTTTGGGTGCACTATCCCTTTAAGGTCGTTATGTCAGCGAAGGTTAAACCTGTATTGTATGGTTGGAGTCAGGCTGGGGTGCTTGGTAACACTGCACATAAATACAGTCATATAACATGAAATTTCAGTAAGAGATTATGTATATTAAAAAAAGATACTACCCAAGCCTCAATTGGGTACAAAACTCTAAGCATACTTTTAAGCATACTGACTAAATTGCGTCAATACCATCAAGTACCCATTCATTAAATCCATCAGTGTCAAACTGTGTTACCTGGGCATATCTGGGTGAGAACACTAGGATTTGACAAGAGGCGGAAGTTCCGCAAAGCACCCTGAAGCCTAGAAATCAGCCATGGAGCTCTGATACCCGCAATAAACCTCTACAGAGGCACTGGGTTCAGCATCAGACCAGAAGCAGGAGCATCCCAAAACCAGGAAGCCAGCTATGGAGCTTCTCAGCCGCTCCATTGGCTCCCCAGCGAGCCAAAACTATCCCTACAGCATCGATCTGCCCAACTGACAACCTCTGGGGCTGAAAAACAAAGCCAACATGCAAATGTCAAAAACTGCATTTCTGAACAACCACCTGAAGCTGACTCAAGGAGCCAGTAAATCCTCACAAACCTAGATTTTAAAATGTCCAACTTTACGCCAGAAACAAACATGTTTACAGCCTGGTCTCTAAAGCTAATTTCAACATTCATGTCAACTGCAAGGGAGTGAGTTTTTATATAACTCACCGGTTTATGTTTTATTA